ACCTATGTGACATCGATTCGTTAGCAATGACTAAAAACTCATGAAGGACTCGCACGCGCCGCGTGGAAGGGTGAGTAAAAAATGATTTTGCTACGGCAGTGCGTACCAATACCCCGGCAATGCCATCCCTCCTCGCCAGCCGGACGAAAAAGGTGCTTAAAAACCTCCACCTGCTGGCTTTATGGCATCCCTGTTCACTGAGCTGCCATTGACGCCCGACCCCGCACCTGGTTTACTCAGAAAATTACGTGAGCTCACCCCCCCCCCGCGCGTTAAAGTTTACATGTATATATATATAAATATATATACCTATATATAGATATACCTAAATATATATATACCTATATATGGCCGGGCAGGATGTACAGGAGTACCGGGCAACATTAAGAAGACCGGGCATGCCCCCAGGTGGCATCGCGACGCGCCGTACACCGGCCACTGCCTATGATACTCGGCAGTCTGGCAGGCAGGCAACCAGTTAGCCGCGCTCACCAGCAGCATGCTGGTCACATTGTCATGCTAATCGCTGGCAGTCGACATTCTGCAGTGCGAGCGCGCTTACGCATGTACGTTCGTAGCTCGCGAAGGCCAGCGAACGCATCCGATACTGATGCACATCAGTGATTTTACGTACATCGTTCGCAGAGCGACAAATGTAACAATAACGTCAATTCAAAACTCGTAGCGTGCGCGTACTTGCGCTTCCAAAGTACGTGGCAAGTGAAACTAGATACACATTACACACATTACATAAAATAAGTACTGTGCTGTAGAATAAAAGATTTCTTTTAACGTCCTGGACAGAAGAAGAGCATTCCTGTTGATTGAACCAATACATATTACAACGCAGCTTGGACAACAGTCACTAACTCGCCAGGAACATACACAAAGTATTTCCTTTTCAAGTCTTTAATAATGACAAAAACCAGTATGACAATTAGTGAGATAACACCTATAATGGCAATGTCAACATTATAAACTTTAAACTAGGCTGCATGATCTTAACGTACACAGCGAAGATCAGACCATGTCACGGGCATTACCTGGTAATAGCCCATGACAGAACCACATATAGGTAGTATGTGGCTGTTTTCCATTAGAGGTGAGTACTTCAGCTTTATCAGCATCCGAAAAAGTATATATACCATATAATTCTACTAGCATAATTATATTAGCAATATAATTATGCTCGTAGAATTATATGGTATATATACTAATAGTATTGCTCATAATAAAAACACAAACATTATCAATAAAACTGGTGTATCGTAAGGGTTTTGTATGATATTAAAAAAACGAGTTTTACGTACAGCCATGTCACGGTACATCGCTTGAACTTGTTTACATGTGCCACTCAAGACTCAAGTTTACCTTCCAGCACATACACTTCACAGCAAAGGTTTTGTGAGCATAACAAACATGCCACGAAACATTTGTACGTAAAAAATATGTAACTCATGAACATTCATTCAGCTACCCGGCACGGTTGGTGTATCTGATCTTGCGATATTGACATGGTGCACACCAAAATACCTAATGATGAGGTCAATTAGTTGAACACTGTTCACAGCCCATCTAGTTGGCATGCTGCCCGAAGGCACAGAAGCTGATGGAGGTTATGTGTGAAACATGCTTTTCCAGGCGCAGGAATGCTGGATGGCAACTTCTCGCCTTAGTGCTTGCCAAATGCTGCTTAAAAACGTCTGTGATATCCCTTTACAGTACTGTGAGTGTGAATGGCGAGCGCATTATGAACACATCTGTTGGTTATGCCATTCTTTGCTGCATGGGACTAAATTACACTTTGAGGCTTGTGGGGCACAATTACATGCAACAAAAACAATTTGAATCGTAGTGTTGCAGGAAAGATGTCTGCCACATAGATAATATAGATACATAGATTACATAAATCCTTACAAAATGACATCACACAGGTTTTTAAACAGGAATAAGGATGCATTCAGCTGCATGCACATGTACGAATGTATGTATATACGCACAGTTTGTTTTGCATCCCACATTATGCCAGCCTCCACTATCAAGTGATTCATGTACTTGCATGTTACTGAATGAAAGATGCCACTCTCGCAATATTAATTACACAGCACTAGTAAGCTGTATTTATTGAACCTCACAGACACTACTGGTTTTTACATCACATAAACATTAAACATTTACTATCAATGGTCCTACTGGTACGTGTACGTATGTCTATTTTCGTACCTCATGTGGAAATAAGTACAATTAGTGTTTATTAATTAGCATGTTGAGCCTCAATTTTTACTATAATCTACCAGCCCTTAACAGGTTATTAGTTTTTAAAACCTTTGATTTCTAATTCCCTGTATAGGGGAAAGAGCAATTTAGTTGTTTCCCTTTCATAAAACCAAGCTTCTGATCGTACGTCTTGAACCTGATTTTACAAGAAGCCTAATTTTACAAACCTATGCTACTGAAAAGAAATTGCTAGCGACAAGATTATAATATATTATGAATTTCAAATACATCAATATTAGCATTCGGCAGGCTACAATTCATTCTTGTGAAATCTGGTTTGTTTTTCTTGGTTATATTTTGAGCATTTTACATTTGCATTTACATCATTTTTTACTAGAGTACATACAATGTAGTAAAGCAAAAACTTCCATACATATAAACAGAGATGATGCTTATAAAAATCGTTAGCCTGTTGTTGCTTTTAGCAGCCGATAACCATATATATGCATTGTCACTAGATTAGCTGAATGATCGTAGGTGTCCTTTTAATGTCAAATAAGACAATTGCAACCAGAATAGGTTTGAAAGACTCAGGGTGTTAGCCAGGGAGAAAAAATCAGGGAATCTCATCATCTGCGCGAAGCGAGGATGCTGCGGGCACGAAGCGCCCTAGGGGGAAAAACCGACAATTTTATTTTCATGCAGGGGTAAAATTGGTCGGCCTTCATGCCGTCTCATCCAAGTATAGGCCATCCAAAAGACGGCTAGACAGCTAGGTCTCTGGCTATCACACTGGAAAGACTAGCACTTGTAGTACATGTCTAGAAGGAGGAAGGAGAATAAGTTAGAATGAAGTACTTCATCAGATTACAACCATATTTCCTAAAAGAAAATATGACTAGGTTACCTGGCTACCAACAAAAATTCAAAATTTGTCAAACCATAAAACATAGCTGCTACTGCACACCAGATGGGGCTAAACACAACCCAATTTCCATCTAAATAGGGTTTGGGGTTGGGGTGAAACAAAGTACCCGATTTTATGATTTCTCTCATAGCACTTTGAAAAACCAAGAGAAAAACATCATGAAACTTTAAAGTGACCATGTAAACCCCCTATTCATGAAAACATAATTGTTCAGTAGTCAAGTTTTTGGTTAGTTTTAATTCGGGGAGGGGGGGTCAAATATACCCGAGTACGGAGAATAATCCACCAGGTTGTATTATTTTATAAACAAATAAACCTTCTAAAAACTTTGGGAATCCCAAAGGCTATAGACTAGTGATGATAATCAATTATAATCAAGAGTTAATAATTTCCAGATGCCGACTAGATAATCGATAATCGTTAGCTTAGTAAGAACAATGCTGCAAGCCCTCAAAATACTAGCTATTTTACTTCTTTAGTTCTACAAACTAAACTGCACAAATTATAAATGTGCAATTTATCCATACAGTATCCCAAAAACAGTTTATGACAGTTTTGTTCAACATCACATTACAACAAATGTTTAAATATTTATGCGTACAACTATTATCTAATAATAATATAGAGCAATTCCTGCCCTCTTTAGATATATAGAGAATATAATCATATTGATAAAATAAGACTACAGAACAAGGTCATGCAAGCACTATGATAATTAAACAATTATCATCCCATTACAAGTGATTGTGATCGGTTGGGTGTAAACAATAACAGATAATAAAATTCCAGCTGATTCCCATCACTAGACTAGACAGCTGACTTTGCATTTCATGCAATATCTCATGAAGGCATGGATGGTTACTATGCAAAACAAACAAATGGCTTATTGTGAATAAATGATAAAATATTAAACCCATTACTGTTGCTCAGCTTAGGTTCAGTCACCAGCAGCGTTTTTATCGTTTTATTTCCATGCTAATCACTTTCCAACAACTATTACTTGCAAATAGCAATTTAATGTTGCAGCAGTTTATAAGAACTGTTTAGCATTATTTTGAAGGTTAGGATAGGCTTGCACCAATCATTGGCAGTCAAATGCAAAGCAGGACATGGAAACACATTTAAGGCCTATCACAGCATATAAACTGTGGAATTTATGCCTCAAGTAATAAAATATAATAAATATTTCACTAACAATAGGTACCATGTCCGGCGTCTAACCCGTGTTAGTGGTTACTGCAAGAGTAGACACGTGTTTATACATAACGTTTTTGGATTGTCCATTGATTGGCAGTTATACAGTGCCACTTATAAAATGGTGACCTATCTATAATGGATATTTTTGGAGTTTCCTTAGATAGAACCTTATATAATGTGGCTTGGTTGTATTTTCAAAAAATGAATCTGACCAGTTCTACCCTTTCAATTGTGGATTAGCAACTCTACACTGTCCTTCAGCCAATGTAGTGACAAGTGTCTGTATGACGTGGGATTGTATTCGCAGTAGTGACTAGTACTAGTAGTGACAGTACTAGTACTACTACTACTACTACTAGTAGTAGTAGGATTGTCCGACTCCTAGCACGCTAGCATCACTGCAGTTAATAACACTATTAGTAATAGTGTGCAAAGATAGTCTACTACCAGCAACGGTCCTATCAGTCACGCTATTTGGGTACCGACGGCCACCGAACGGCCAAACTGGACTCATCATCAGGGCATGCACACCACATGCAGTATTGAGTATAGGTACTGTACTGTGTACAACTTGTACTACAAGAAATTTGAACAATCAACATACAAGCCACTGAATTAAGATATCTGTGTGCACATCAATTGAAACACAAATGTTTACCTTATATGTCCCTAATCTTTTCACTGGGTAGATACGGCATCGTCTTGCTGGTGGAGATGTAATAGAGATTACTGATAAAATTCCAACAATCAAACTCGTAAAGGACATAGTCACCGCCATGATGCCATCGCCTCGGTTAGTCACGTGAGACGTAGCGCCACCCTATTGGCGAATAAGTTTACGCGGCAAGATCAAAGACACAGCTAGCACGAATTTCAAAATATCTACTATGGCGACATCTGTCGATCAAAGTTTAAAGGAAGCTAGGAAATAAAGAAATAGGCATAGAATAGCCAGAGCACGTACTCTGGAATAGCTCTAACCTCATAAACATAACCTCATAAAAATTACTCTTCAAAGTCCAAGGGACTATAACGAAAACGGAGAGAGACAAAGTTGGTCAAATAGACAGATCAACACTGCGGATCGCAGTCGAAAAAGCTTCAATTTTTCAAGTAACCAAAAAAGAAGGAAAATAATTCCAATATAAGATGACAGAAAAGAGGAAGTTAAACTTATAGAGATCATTGCTGGGTATATGCTGAAAGCAATGTTCACGCTCGGATGATCGCGTGCTAAGAATCGGCTTTATTAAACAAGAGGGAACACCAATCTTCACCTGATCATGATAAATTTTATGAAAGGTTATACGTTTTGCATGAAGAAAGCAGATACCAAGAGGAGGCCACTCAAGTTGAGTTTAACCTCAGAACTACCATGATAGTTTTTAGATACCCATCTCGCTGATCTATGCTGAATGGCATCTAATGTAGAATAGTTCTGAAGCGTTTAGGGACACCAGCCTGGCGGAGCATTATTCCAATACGGGGAGAAGCGTAGTTTTAAACGCCAAATATCGAGTTTTAGAATCGGAAAAGCTAAGGTTGCGGCGTGGCATACCAAAAGAACGAACGCTTTCTTACAAATATATCAATGTGTGCATTCCAGCGAAGATTTCTACTAGTAAAGACACAAAATATTTGTAAATAGGTTATGAGATAGATACTTATGGTTAAGCGAGTAAGTAAAAGTCAATGGTGATTTAGAGCAGGCCGGTAATGTGAAGAATTTTTCCATTTTTAACATTTAAAGACGGTACCCCCAAGATGTTGCCCAATTCTCAGCACGAGTGAAGATAATCTAGACTCTAGTCTAGAGGGCTAACTGATTATCCGGAATTATCCATATTGGAGTTAATGCGGTATAGGACTGCCTCATTAGAAAAGATGCGAATAGAAGTAGAAGAGTTAATACAGAATATGATCAACAACGGACCAAGCACCGAGAACCTTGGAGTATACCCGATGTTACAACAACCGCATCTGACATATACTGCCATCAACACAGGTAATTTGTGAGCTATCATTCAGAATGTCAGAAATCCAGTTTACGGTAGTACTATACTACTATCCAGTCGCAAGTAACCAAGTTTAAAAATCACGAGATCATGCGGAACCCTATTCAAAGCCATGCTACAATCTAGAAACATATAGTGCATCAATCTAGTGAGACATAATGTCCAATCATGAAGAACACTGATTAACTGGATAACAGCAGAAAAACCATGAAGAAAATCATGTTGACGCTGAGACAGAATATCATGCCTAAATGACCAATAACAGAGGGATAGACTATCTGCTCAAATGCCATTGAGAATCCTCAAGTTACACTGCCACTCACTGAGAAATGAAGTGTCGACTGCGCGGCAGACCAGCACGGAGCACTCGGCCTATAGAGTTAGAGTCGTTCATGGAAGCAATCTGAGTGATCTGAATGTAGTCGATTTGAAGAAGCATTGTCTTGTGTGATTGCAAAGTATCTAGAGCTACCGAAACTACGCAGATATCTACCTCATAGCCTTATAAAAGAAAGGCAAGTCAACAATCACTCTACATGTTTCACAGTATAACATGGCACTACAGAGCAATTTCGACATTCATTCTTTATTTAAAAAAAGAAGAAGAAGACTGCATGAAACCAGCTGCCAGAGAACGTGGCAACAGCCACGTCAGCGGAGGCCTTGACGTTAGTTGCGGCGAAGCTTTAAATTACCAACTGTTCTACTGATATAAGCATGTGCCCGCCCATGCACCCTCCATATGGGCGGTGCGTTATACCGTAATGGTCCTGCACCGTATCATCCAGAATAAGATGAAAAAATGTGTGATGATTCATCTTCAAAGTTCAAGGGTCTATACCGAAGACGACGACTGTGACACCGTCTACTTACAAGCGATTTATAATGGGAAGAAGTGGTAGACGGTTAATTATTATCTAAATATATTATATCAATTAATAATGATAATCGTATTGTTTGACCTGTCTATTCATGATTCATTTCATTATGATGATTTCTAGAAAATTCATGATTTCTTTCATCTTTATAACTATTATATATATATATATTATACACACACCGACACACACACGACACACACACAGCACACACACACACACACACACACACACACCACACACACACACACACACACCACCGACACACACACACACACACACACAACACACAGCACACAAGACACACACACACACACACACACACACACACACACACACACACACACACTGCATATACACTCACTCACACACACACACCACACACACACACACACACACACACACACACACACACACACACGCGCGCGCGCGCGCGCGCGCGCAGCGAAGGCATATACACTCACTGCACATACGCATACACACACGCAATAGCACACCACAGCACACACCACACAGCACACACCACACACACACACACACACACACACACACACACACACGCGCGCGCCGGCGCATGATACACTCACAGCACACCACGCATACATACACACACACACGTACACACACATACACACAGCACACACACACACACCCCACACACACACACCACACACACACACACACACACACACACAACACACCATGCACCACACACAACACACACACACACCACACCACACACAACACACACACACACACACACAGCACAACACACAGCACACACACCCACCACAGCACACACACACACATACATACCTACATACATATATCCGGGCCTGTATATACTGACTATATACTGTAATAATCTGTTACTGTCGTCCATACAGGTTCGTAGACTGAACTAATATGAAATTCTTGTTGAAATATACGCACCTTCAATGGCTTTTGCTGAACCATACGATTTACAATGTTCCTGATTCATTTTGCGCGACATGCGATAATTTTGGCAACCTCTTGGGCGACATACCAACCAGTAAATGAAGGGGCACCAAACCAACTCAGAACTCATGAACTAAGAAATAATAAAACCATGTTATGACGCGATCCCCGATATGACGAAAATTCGAGTTTTATTGCCAGTAGGATTCAGTCTGACCATAGTGTTGACGTTCAGCTGCCTGCTGCCCCTGCTGACGTGAGTGTGTCTCGCGCTGGCTGTACAACTGATAACCGCACTCAGAATCTGCATATCCCTAGCCGTTTTTTCTCGTGGCAGCCACAGGCGATATATCCTGACCAGCTTGTCCAAATCAGCTTGTCGTTGGCGTTGCACCCGGGCAGTTTGAACCATTTATCTCTCGTTGGCGCTTGGAGAGGAGGTCTGGGTGTTCGCTATACTGCGCTGTCCGGATTATATGGGATAAAAAAAAAGGAGAGAAGAGAGAGAGAGAGAGAGAGAGAGAGAGAGAGAGAGAGAGAGAGAGAGAGATAGAGAGAGATGAAGAGAAAGAGAGAAAAAGAGAAGGAAAAACTAAGGGCGACCAAAGAAAAACAACTTTCCCGTACTGCTGGAAGCTATATAATTAATAGATACGCGCTGCACGGATGTAGATATGGAATAAAACTGAGCTTTCAAACGCATAATCGACCTATTCGGTATACAGAATCTGCCGGTGGTCCAATCATTGTTGTCACACTTCAATTGCATAGAAAACATCTTTATTCCGCTGGTCGCTGGTAGGTATCTGTACTAACGAGCAGGTGTGATTTCGTTAGGAGTAATAAAAACAAATTTTCTCGAAACGATAATCGATGATAGTTTGTGTTTTTTGTGTGTATGAATTTTGATGGACTGCACGGGAAACCTGAGATCATCATCATTGCCATCTCATCATTGGGATGGCATTTTCTACATTGACTACAGGCAGTTCAAGCGTAAGCTGTAGTTGAAACGCTCAGCAACGATGAATGCCACATTAGAAGAAATACAATTTAATTTGCACATACTGATTACAAGACCGGATTATATATAGATGAATCAGCAAACTGCCCGGCCAAAAATTCAGTAATTCATGCAGTAATTGCAATGAACAGATCGACACACCTATCTATACTCGTTATTTCGTTAGATGAAATGACGTCTCTATATATATCAGGAGTAGATAATAGGGTATTCCCTATTATCTACTCCTGATATATATATAACCACACACGACACTATATCAATACTATAGTTGCACGCGCCCGCACATCAGGGTGGATACTATAGTTCCCATAAACAGGTATTTGCAATAAATTTGGAGAGGAAGCTAGTGCTTCGCCGGGCATCCCTGTCAATTTATTTTAAGAGCAACACGACTAATAAATATAAAACTTCCTTCACAATTGCTTGAAACTGACTGCTTCGTAATAAAACGCACTGTTGTAATGATTCAAATCTATTCATGAGTGAATAAAAACACGTGTTCTATGTTTGTTTTATACAAATATAAATGATGATATATAAACCTAAACATATTTAAACACAGCATAGTTTTATTACATAGTGATAACTAAATAAGTAATAGGAGTATTTGCTTTATGCGACTTTTTAAAAATAAAATGCATTATTACAATTATTAGAATATAATCCAGAATGGATAAGCTCAGGAGTGTCACTAGTCTATATTATGACACTCCTGATAACATCAAATGTTTTAGTGTTTTTACATTTTTTAATATTCATGGGTGGTATAAGATTTTAGAATTTAATCACACGGGGAAGGATTAACGTAGTAGTGAGCAAGCCGCTGACAGAATTATTATGTGTGCAATGCTGATGACTACGCCAATTATGCGTGCGGTACGTGCGTGTGTGAGTTGAACGTGTGTTAGTCTATAACAATTAGAAACGATTCCGAATAAAGAATATATACTTACTTATACCGTATTTTGCGGCATATAAGACGCACGTGCATAAACGACGCACGGGCATATAAGATGCCCAAATTTCAGCACGGAATATTTAGGGGAAAACTATTTAGTATAATCCCCGCGCCTTTGGCGCTCGGCCCTAATTTTTTCTTTACATACTGAATTTCGGTTAAAGAAAGTCAAATTAGAATGCACACATTTATCATGGAAAAACAGGGGTTTAAAAGAAGTTTAAATCCGTGTTTAATTACGTAATTAAAAGTAGTAATCATAATAACAATAATAATAATAATAATAATAATAATAATATGTTCAATTAAACAATGACATTTTTATTCTGGAGTTGGGCTATAGGTAGGAGTTACCCGAGCCTACTGTAGGCCGCTTGAGAAATTCATTAGCATGTGGGAGATCGCAACTTCACATATATATAAGACGCAAGGCGATTTTTTTTTAGTCATTTTTAACAAAAAATGTGCGGCTTATATGAGGTAAAATACGGTAATTGTTTTTCGAAATTTTTATCGAAAGTACGGTCTCGAAGTTCGATGGCATTACGTCCCGCACCTATATGGTCACCAATATTCTATTCCGATGTACGCGACATATTGCAGGAAATGACGGTCTAAAAGGTAACAGACGTAAAGCTACAGGTATATAGAGTGAACTATAGTATGTATATATATATATTATATATATATAAAAGGAACTGTATATATTGTATAGGAAGCGGTGGTTTTTGAGCAGTGTATGCAGCCTAAACGACGTTAGTTGGTTGGTTGGTTGATATTAGTTTCCGTGAAAGTAGGACGTCAATATGTGTGCGGGGTGAGGTGGAGAGAAAAGAGAGCGAGAAAGAGAGAGAGAGGGGAGGGGGAGAAAGAGGGAGTGGGAGAAAGAGCGAAAGGAAGAAGGGGAAACGAGGGCGACGAAAGAAAAGCAACTTTCCCGTAGGCCTACTCCTGAAATCATAGAAAGGCGGAAGAGGGCATATACACCAAGATCCCCATTACGTCGTCTCAATTATTTGGTTCTACCGAGAAAAAATACCACTGTAAGTGCTGCCACTCAGGATATCTTACAAAAAAAGTATAAAATCTGTCCAGAAAAAAGTATCAAAATTGCCTAAAAAAAGTATTAAAAAATATAAATTTGTATCAACCTACCATGAGTTGTTACCATATACCTTATTACCGAATACATTATAGCCTATGTGCAGCATGTAAACAAGCTTCAGGAATGATGTGTGCAATGTCATGAGGAGTTGTCTCTTGAACTCTCAGTTTGGAATATTTCAATGCAGTGTTTCCCAATTGGCCAGAAAGGTCTGTAAGGCGGCAAATTTATGTGTGATGTGTTTGTGTTGCGAGGTCGTAGCACAGTGAGCAGTGCATGTGCCTGGCCAGCAAGGGGGGTCCGAGGGCATACTCCCCAGGAATTTTTTTGAAAAAAATGTGAAATTTGGTGCATTCTAAGCTATTATGGACACATTGTATGATACTCTTGAATCTCTTTTTCAAGTTATCAAAAGTTTCATCAGCGAGGCGGTGTTTTGGACAAATTTCTGTGTGGCGGCTGAGAATTTGAACGAGGCGGCCCGCCTCGCTCGTGTCATTGCAGGGGAAACACTACAATGGTCTGTCATTTGGTCACTGACAGCAGAGCTGAGAGCAAAAACACTCCACTGAACAGAGCACACATCACTCATGCAACAAGACTAGCAAAGCACATCTTAAATCTCATCAAATACAGTGTACCTAAATGTAAGTCCGAAAAATTTTGACCATCTTTGGCAAAAAAGGTATTTACAAGTATTTATGCATGAAAAAAGTATGAAAAAAATCTAAAGTATATTTTCTTTAAAAAAAGTATAATACTTTAAAAAAGTATAAAGTGGCAGCACTGCACTGTCACCGAGGTGTCGGCTATATTATAAGAACTAAGCTATGTATTGAGTAAAATTTTACCCCTTACTTTCTACTTATATTTGCTTTCTCTACTATGATTTATAAAAAAAATGTTTGAAACTTTAATAAGCGTAATGTGTATTATTAACTTTTTTCATATATATAAAAGTTATCTTTGTTTGAAACGCGTTCAGATGGCAGCTAGATCACTTCATTTAATGTCATTTCAGTTAAAGTCACGATTTTCACAAACCTAACTATGACGTTCATAAGGGAATCGGTGTACAAGTAAATATCAGATCTTTCTCTTTTCTCATTCTGTTCGGTCTAATCATGTTTGCACCACGCGTGGTTATTAATGAAGCCAATAAAAATCAGTTGTAAAATAGTTGTGAATCTTTAATGCTATGTACTTACTGTAGTAACAGATGTGTATATTTACTTACACACATTCCTTTCAGTGTACAAATCTTTGATGTAAATAAAATACAGCTACATTATTCCAACTATAACTGAATGCGTTAGCTTATGGTGTAATCACTCAACTGAAACCGCAAGATTTGGTGTTTACTGATACTGGAAAATTATAAGATTATAGACATTCTTCTCTTTAACTTTAAGAAATATGCAGTATTCATCTATTGAAAAAAAGGAAACAAATCTAAAACATTAATTATGACGTGAACAAAATTTGACTGACCTGAATGTTCATGATTCGACACCATGATGTAAAATTATGATAATGCTAAAAATATCAATGCGTAAAAATGTAGTGTTTGATTACCTAATAACGTACACATCGGGAATCCAACGTAACAGTAGCACCACTCAAGAAATTTGGTACTGGTAAGTTTAAGCACTATCAATCTTCCCACTATACCTTTTCAATTAACAATAATCACAAAACTTGTGAAATCCTCACAAAACAATCTTTCACAATTTTACTTTGACTTTTTACTCTTTTTCCTTTTCAATTGCTTTGTTTCAGTAGAACTTATATCTAGGTCTTTATTGAATTGCTGGTTCTTTTCTTTAACACGATCTAGTTTAGCCTTCTTTTTTCTCTTCTTATTAGGTAGATCTGAGGTTGGTGTTTCTTCTGTGGAACATTTTGAACTGGCTTCACTCACACATTTATGTTTTTTCTTTTTCTTCTTCATCTTTTTTGTAGGCATATTACTTTCATCCCCTACAGAGTTCACATCAGTATGCATCACCTCAGTTCGTTTGTCCCCACTATCCTCGTCAAGCTTGTTGCGTTTTCTTTTCTTCTTACTATCTACATTTGCTGAACTCTCCATATTTTGAGCGAGGCTAGAGAGTAAGGTTTGATGCAATGACGCACCTGCCTCCCTTGGTATCCCATCATCAACTGGTGCTTGAGAGAAACCGAATCCAAAGGCATTCCTTCCAAGCCCATCATCACTTGATTCGTCATTTATAGGATTTGCAGCCTGCGCTGTAGCACAAATTCTGCCCTGCGCTGCTGCTCGTGCCTGTTGCAGCTGCTTCATCTTTGATGCAAAATAGTCCTGAACAGAAGTGGAAGATACCAAGAACTGCTCGGTTTTCTCTTCAGGACAGGAGACCACGCTTTCTACATCAGAATTCACCTAAACATAACCAGACAACACAAACAAATGTAAACAGGCAGTTTTTTTTACTAAACACTTGATAATAACATTTATATTATTATTGCCAGAATATAAATGTCATATATAAACTTTGAGTTATATAAAAAATTTATATAAAATAGAATAAGTAATCACCTTTAAAATATACATATATGGCCTTAATGAATGTGGGCTGCTAACTTTCTAAACACTTGTCTACATGCAAAAATGTTTTATCCTTTATGGTTTTATCTGAAAGATACAAGAATCGGGCATTAAAATGAATGAAAAAGTTAGCCGTTTTAGTTACAACTAGCTGTAACAGAAGTCAATCAGCATACCTCGGATCTCGTGAGAGGAGTAGCAGGAGCAGACATGGCATTCCGGTTGCCTAAAATGCATGCCAGATCATCCTGACTAGCACCTGTTAGGTCCTTTCCTTTAGTAAACTTGTGGTAGCTGTTACATACAAAATTTAAACTGTACTATACTCCTAGCTCCATGATTCACATTTGTAACTTCATAATAAGCAATAATACTATTAATAGCATAAAGGAATCATCATATTAGTATAAGTTAATAAAAATCACAAACTCAAACAAATAACAGGATTTCAATATAAGCAATAGATTTCATTCAAATTATTGAAAAAAAAAACTGGCGAGTAAATTATAATAGCTGAACAACTGAGCACTAAACATATTCAAACTTACTGCACTCTAGACCTTGACTTCTTAGACTTCTGCTCTAGACTTTGAGTAAGGTCTGTCTCATTGTCCTTCTTTGTTTTCTTCTTCTTTTTGGATTTTTTGATCCCATGACTCTCATTGAGTTGGGTGAGGATTGCATTGAAGTCATCTTGGTGTGCAATCCAGTTGTCATCGTGAATGTTAGTGCAACCCACACCTGCAAATTAGAATATACACTGTCAACCAGAAAACGTTGGTGATAGCTAGGTCCTCGATATTCTGACATACCTGTAAAATAACTTTTTATTTCTAGAAGTCTTGCCTATTGCCAAGTTCCTAAATTTCCCACCATATTTATATTTTCATGGTTTTAGCCTTCAGCAAAATAACCGTTTTAGTCTTAAAAAATCTATTTGGCGGTATCAGGCAAGCAGCATGCATACAAAATAAATGTAATATGTTATTTGAAATAGCTTGCTCATTTCCAATTAACAATTACTTCTTCCAAAAATGCACCATAGCATTGTTACACAGGTTCTAACTTCTTATACATAAGAGGCACAGTGGCGCATCGCCGTTGTCAAATTTAACATTGCCGTAAAATCTTCCTGTATTTACCCGCCGTTGTCAAAATAGTGTCATTTTATTTTCAGGGTACCTCAAATGCAGTCTAATTAATACATTCAAATGTTTAAAATTGGGCCCCCCCCCCCCCCGCGTCCGCCTGCAGCGTCCGCATGTGTGCCTATGAAACCTCTGAATCCACCATGCACGGTTTTTTCCCAAACTGGCCATTACCTCCTTTGTCTAATTTTCCCTCAGAAGAAGATGTTAACATTCAATAGTAGATTTCTTAAACATCTGAAATGCAAAATTATCAAGAAACCTCCCTCTCACCTCTGTTGTCATCCTTCATGTCAAGTTTGACATGTTCAGTGTTACCATCTTCATTTGCACCTAGACCCTTGCCTCTGCTCCATCCCATTTGTTTTAGCATGCGCTCTCCAAACTTGTTGGTGTCTGTAAGCAAGCATCATGACACATTGAATCAGAATTAACCATAATAAACAAGGATGGTTCATAACTAACAACAAGCAGTGATTGTCTGCGCTGCATGTCACCATACTGGATCCCATTCGAACCCAACTTGCCAGCAGGCTCAGATCAGCTGGATCGAGTTCAGTGGATCCAATCGAACAAACAGCCAGTTTCATCGGACCCACGTGATCCGGATCATACGATCTGCCCAAACAAACATTCCCTGAAGGTAACCTTCACAATAACGATTGGTACTGCCACCAAATCTTGCATAAAGATTCAAAACTGAGATCTCCCATTAATCGATAGATGATGATATAATTTCCTGCCATGACTCACTTTCAGCTTACATTAGTTTTTAATTCGGATGGTTTTGGCACCCTTTGTAGATATAATAAAAAGGCTTGTAAAATTACCCATGAACTGTAAGGAAAGAACCCCATATAAAAATTGGTGGCAAGTGAAACAATGCCAAAACTAGGTACCAGATGCCATTTTCACATACTATGCACACAAAAACAAATACATAGTCAGAACTAAGTGTGATCTGGTGTCCAAGGAAGTCGGACTGTACTCATATTCACTGTAATGTAACCCAGCACAAATTAGGGTACCTATTCTTGGTAACTAGATACCGCTCTAGGTGCTCCAGGTTGGTCTGCAGATAGGCAACCTACTCAGTACTCTGCTGGGTTACATTATTATATTAACTAGTACTAGAAATAGTACTAGTAAATAACTAAAAATATGTTGAAATGAAAGTGTCAATATGACACTGTAGCTCACCACAATGAAAGTGTCAATGACACTGTAGCTCACCACAAAAAAGGACACAAATGAGCGAGTAAGAAGAAGTCAGTTTTAATTGAGCAACCATCGACGTACATTATAGAAACGATTGCCATCTGTATATCGCAATAATAATTTATAAACCAAAATGAATCACAATTTGTGACCCGCTTTTAGGCGATGCGCGGCTTGAAATAAATAGGTTATGCTGCGTTCCGACATGTTTTGTAAATCTTACTCTAATATACGACGTTTTATCGAGCAGGTGGAAAGGAAATGCCAATTTTGCATTAAAGATATTGTCAATGAAATCTTGTAAAACGAACCAGACGAGTGTAGACACCACAGACTGT